CTCCCACCCCCACCACACACTAACCCTCCCCACCCCCCCACACACACTACCCCTCCCACCACCCCCACACACACACTAACCCTCCCCACCCCCACACACACACTACCCCCCCCACACACTGGCGCCCCCACACTACCCCCCACACACACCACCACCCTCCCCCACACTACCCTCCTCCCCACACGCTCTACCCCCCCTCCCTATCCACACTCGTTCTCTTCCCCCCCCTATTAAACATGCTCACTCTCCCCCATAACTCACTTCCTCTCCCCCCACCATACACACACCAAACGGCTGTTCTCCGCTGCCCCCCACCCCTTACACTGCCTCCTTGTAGCTCAGTCTGTGTGTGGAGGTGGCTCCAGCTATGCACTGGTGCCCTGCCCTGGGATTGACAGGGATCAGAACTGCAAGATCTGTTCAGGTGAAAAAAAATAAAGCCATTGGGTCTTATCTTTCTATTACACCCACTTAACCACAACAACTTGCATTTATGTAGCAACAACAGGATGGTTCCCTTCATGTGCGATAGGGTTTCAGAGCATCTCACGCCCTGACACTGCAGGGCCTGTGCTGTGGGCACAAACTGCCCAGTGCACAGGCATTAATTTTATTTTGTCAAGCATTTCCAGACATTTTATGTGAAAAGCACTATATGAGGCATACACATCACTGTACGAACAGTGGTGCTAACAGTATAAAACCAGAGAAACTACTTTTGTCTTCTGAGCAGCCAGTTTACACTTCTGAGAAAACAACAACAAATTGCATTTATACAGCACCTTTCATGTTGGGAGGACGTCCAAGACGCTGAAAAAACACAAGAGAATTAATTTAAATAGTTTTATTAAAAAATGCAAATAGTTTCATTGAAACAGGCCATTTAAACCAACTAGTTCACACTAATATTTACTCCACACAAGCTCCACCTCTCCTATTTGCCTCTCTTTTACCTCTTTATTCCCTTCTCCCTTATGTATGCATGAATTCTGATGGTCTGGGAGGGTAACAATCTGCAAAGGAGCACTTCAGAATGTTAATTATCCACATTTAAAATACAAAAATGTAATCAAATATAATCCATCCAATATAAGAGGTGTATAGAGGGTTTATTAGTCAGGTATCCAAGCATCTGATAATCCCCCAGATTAAAAAATTGCTATGGGATGCTATCCAGTGTGAAAGGTGCTATACACATGCCTGATCCCCGACTGTTCAGCGCCTTGGGACTTCTTCCCGACCTGAAAGGTGCTTTACAAATGTAATTTTGTTGTTGTCATTGACTTCATGGCTGTTTGCGGGATATTGCTGTGTCCGAATTGACATCTGTGTTTGCCTACAAATACACAGTCACTGCATTTTACAGTAAATCCTATGAAGCCCGTTTCAGCATGATAAGGCACTAAATCAAACGATTATTATTATAGTTAGTGGAATTTGGCATTATTCACACCCCAGTAATACCTCAGTATTATTTAGAGAACCATGAAACTTTACAACAAGATTAGGCCATTAGGCTCAACAACAACAGCAACAACTTGTACCTATATAGCGTCCTCCATGCAGGGTAGCATCTTAGACCGCTTAATATTGGTGGAGCCTGACTCCAAGGCGGGGGGAGGGGGAGGTGACCGTAAGCACGGTCGAAGAGGAAAGTTTTCAGGTGGGACTTGAAAAAGAGGAGAGAGGGTGCAAGACGGAGGGATTGAGGGAGAGTGTTCCAGAGTTTTAGGGTGTCGTGGCTGAAAGCACGACCTCTGATGGTGGGGTGGAGGGTGTGAGGGACGAGCAGGAGGCCGGAGCCAGTCGAGCGGAGGCGCTGGGTAGTGGATTGGGGAGTGAGAAAGTTGGAGAGGTATGGAGGTGCCAGGGAGTGAATCGATTTGAACACGAGTGTGAGGATCTTGAAGTCGATTCTTATATTCTGTTTGTATTGTAAACCCTGCCAATCTTTACAGATTTTAAACTTTAAATTATTTATCCTTCACTATTTAAACCTCTGTTAGATACCCTCTTAACCTCTTAACTAAATACAAGTAGGTATTACTTTGGGAAGAAGCACAACAGAGAAAAATGGAAATTGGTGTAGACAAGTGTCAGGGGTTTCTGGTGCCGGGTTCCCTGGGTTCAATGAGATTCAAAAGCACTCTTGATTGACAGTGTTACTGGCATCTCGACTCTGCAAAAATCAACTCCTAAGTGTTCTTCTTCAGGAGCACTTGCATACATACGTATGTCCTCGCTGACTTGCATTATTTCGACTCTCAGGGGATCTGGGTTTGGAGGTCTTGCAAGTTGGCAAACATGAGTTTCTCTGTAGAAAACAAAGAAGGTGCTTTATCCATTGGCCAGCAATCATGCTACCATTTTCTAGAAGTGTTTGAACTAGACTATGAGCTCATGGTCAAAACTATTCACAGTAATTGGTTCATTTTTGAAGCAAGAACATATTCCTGCAAGTGGTTACTACATTTACATATTAATGAAACAAAATCACATTTCTTACAAGGGGCATTTAGAAATGCCTGTACTAGTAATTTCAATTGTACTTTGTTAGAAAGTGAATTAACCTGATCTCTTTCTAATCTAAAGTAAAAGATTATTGAGTCCAGTGTATTTTAAAATTCAAAATTGTATGTGAGATTTGCAGATTTTTTGTAAATGTTACTTTGATTATTTGGATATTGTAAGGATTTGTCTATGATCTGTCCACTACACAAATATTCCATGCCATCATGTTATTGACTAGACTCGTGATTGTGCTGTATTTTTCTACTTATTTTCCACTCTGAGCTTGATATATTTCCATCGTAAGCAAAGGTTCCAGTGGTTCCTCATGGGAATTGCAAACATTAAATATATAACCCGCATTCTGTATTGCACCACACACTGTATACTGTATATGTATCTTTTCACATAATGTTGCTCAATTAGGTATAGACCTGAACTGTAATCTCCAAACTCTAAAAATAAATGTTCCATGATCTGGAACTCCAAATTGTCATTCTATTGACATAAGTTAGTTAAACTGAGATTTTTTTTACTTACAACTGTTTGCAGGAGATGCCTATGAGCAGCAGGGTTCACTTGGAGGGAACATTGCTTTGTCAGCACATGATCAGCTCCTGCTGAAAGGACTATGTTCCCCCCATCCCCCCAGCACACCTCTATTTGGTTAAAGCAATGCTTGCAATTAATCTTCATTGGAAATGTTCTTCAGGGAGCAGGGAGCCATTAGGGAAAGCTCACTTTGCACATTATTTTTCTGGAAACAGCAGGCACATGGCATCAGGGACTTGAAGAACAGCTCAGATTCTTAGTGTTAATATGTTCAATGGTTAGGGCACATGTTTGTGTTTTCCCTAGATTTATACCTTGTTTGAGTAAAAGTATTGAACATTAGTTAGTTAGTTAGTTAGTTAGTTAGTTAGTTAGTTAGTTAGTTAGTTAGTTAGTTAGTTAGTTGAAGAAGGAACTAACTTGCATTTTATAGTGTCTTATATGTCAAAACGTCATATGATAACTATAGTTATATATATAGTTATATAGTTATATGATAACTGTAGCATTCTCTGTTCATATCAATGTGTACTAGAAACAGACAAGTCATGGGAAATACAGGAAGACTTGTATCTTTTTATTTTCTCGATAGTGCCCAATTTTTATTTTACATTTTAGTGCAGTTTACTCAGAATAAATGAATTCTCGAGGAATCGGATTGCAATATTTGAAGAATTAAATGGTTTTCAGAGCTTTTCTAAACCAGGAGTAAAAGAATGCATACAGCATGGAATTGAATGTAGAATTTAAGTAACCAACCCAGACTAGGGCACCAAACAGAACAGGTGGAGTTGAGTATCTTATAAAAGGGTCCAAAATATTGCAGACAAAAAATGGAGACCAGCAAAAGAGAAATACGCCCATCACTATTCCCAGGGTTTTTTGTGAAGCTATATTTTTTGTGAAGCTATATTTTTGTTTTCTTTGCATAACATAACATCAAAACTTGTGTGAAATTTGCAAAACAATTCTCTCAAATACCAACATGTTTCGATTGAACTGACCATGCTATAAGGCATAATTAAGCATCCCACCAAGATAAAAAGCCAATGAGAGAACAAGGTAATTGGTGGGTGTGTGGAGCTGTTTGAAGTGTGAGTTTGAAATGATCACTAACATGTTACCAAATAAAGTGACCAGAATTGCTAACAAGTATGTAAAGTGTGACACGGACACTAGTTGATTGGATTGTTTTTGCGCATGATCCATTCACAGATCCATAGCAAAATTCCACAGTTTCTGTGTTCTAAAAAATGCTTGTGTTCATTTTTGCTCTCCTTTAAAAAGTCTTCAGTATCAAATTTTCTGTTTTAGTTGAAAGCTCTTTGCCCAATCGTTCCTTCTTTGAACCATTCCTTTGTATTTCTGAAGTATTAAATTCTGGTAACTGTGAATGGAAAAAAAGTTAATGAAATGTTTTGAACCAGAGACCCCTTTATGCCTTTCATGGTAATGTAGTTTTCTAACTTATTCTGTAAATTTCAATTTATGTAAAATTTAGGAGAGTTATTTTAAATAGAGAGATATGGAATATTTTGATTTATGACAGCTTGCCTTTATTTACCACAGCATTTATGTGAAACACCAGTTCAAAGCCCTTATCTATGGGAGCAATGAACAATAATAATAATCATTGCATTTGATATAGTGCCTTATCACGTCGTTGAGATGTCTCAAAGCATATCGTAGAATATACTGTAAAGTGAATTGACTGTATATTTTGTGAGCTAAATGCGGCACCTAATTGCGCACAGCAGTGTCCCACAAACAGTATTGAGTGACCAAATATTTTTGAAGGGATTATTAGCCCTGGAAAGTGATCCGCCAATCAACTAACCAACTGGGTTCCTACTTACTGCTTGGTAAACAGAGGCGTGTGGAGTAAGGAAACTTGCCCAAGGTTCTGCCTGCCTGCTTGCAAAGCGAGTGCTCTAACCAACAGGACTCCACAATGAGCAAGATGCTGGAAAAATTTAGCGGTAACTCAAGGCACAATCAAAGATTTAGACTTTGAGATACAAGGAGATAGATAGCAAGGTAAAGTCATTTACAAGGGAATTGTGAAGGACAGAAGCAATATAATTGAAGGCTCATCCCAATGTTGGAGTGGAAGGAAGGAGCATGAATAGCAAGTCAGGGATAATAATGATATAACATTGTTATTATTATTAATGTTGGAGCAGAAGGAGCGCGAATAACAAGGCAGAGATAAAAGAGTAGAGAGTGTAGGCTGAGTGATAGAGCTGGAGAAAATGACACAGATAGGATGGAGCAAGACAATGGAAGGGTTTGAAAATTGATCCTTCATGAAACAGAAAGCGGTGGAACTTGATGAAGATATGGACAAAGGGAATGTGGAACCTTCTGTGAAACAGGGAAAGGGGAATATTGGAGAAATGTAGCACCGAGGTGACAAAGGGTTTCAGCATTGGCAGTGTTGAGATAAAGTGTAATTAACCAATGTTCTGGCTGTAGAAGACAATTCTGGTGATGCATCAAATGTAGGCTTGAATCTCAGCTCAGACTGAACAGCAATGTTATTAACACCAGATTCAGCCTAAGAGAGCAATTATGGATTATGTACTTCTGAGGGCTAAGAATTGTCAAAAAAAAGTTTTGTTTCAGATTTCCCTCATTAAAAGTTTCAAATGTTGCCCAGGTTGTCAGGGAAAATTAGTTGCGTAAGAATGCATTTGAGAAGATAAGTTATAGGGAAACAATTGACAGTGATTTGGGAAAAAATCCAACTCATCAACCAGTCAGGCTTCAGCAGATTCAATAATAGCTTTCAAAAGCGAATTGGATATTTACTTGAAAAGAAAACAAAATGCAGGGCTTTGGGGAAAGAGCGCAGGGGGTGGGGGGTGCGGGGTCCGACCAGTTGGTAGCTCTTTCAAGGAGACGAATGGTCTCCCTCTGTGCTGTAAGATTAAATGAAGCTATCTGGGTCCTAGGAGGAAGCAAAAACCCCTGGAGCTCCACTTCCTTCTCTCCCTCCCCCCCAAAAAAAAAATTTGAGGTGTAGGTTCAGGCACTAATAATGCTTCCAGGGCTTTTGGAAGAGAAGTTTGTCTGAGGTGCTAAAATAGGCAAAGCTTTGTGCCTCAAGAAGAAGGAGAACCTGTAATGCCTCTTACCCGTGCCCCCCCACCCCCAAAAAAAATAGGAGTTGACCGCTTTTGGAGATTAAACTGCGTTCAGGGGGGCGGAGATTATCAGGAGGTATAGGAATAGATTAGAAATCCTGCATCTTATGTGTTTGTTCACAAACATAAAGAAATAGGCTGTTCATGTAATGAAATTGCAGTTGAGCTATGTTATAATGCAGTGTTTTCGGATCCAATAAAATCCTAACCTGGCACTTTAGCAAGGCATGATAGTGGGCTTGACTGCATGCACACTAAAAGCAAAAAGTGGTCAATTTCTGGAACTCAGGGTGACTATCATCATCACTTCCTGGTTGCTGCAAATGTCAGAATTCAGGCATTTTTTTAGCACATGAAGCTAAAATGGCTGACTTCTGGGTTATTGGGTCACAAATGACACCACAACAGCAAGCGGTATCAGTGACCTGGAAGTCGACCATTTTAGTGCAAAAAGCTGCCCTATGAGCTGCCCTGTCCTTACGTACTGAATGGGGTCCACAGCCCAGCCCCATCCCAAGCAGGCTTTCATTATATTTTTTAAAAAAGTGGAGTCCTGTAGCTCAGTGGTAAGAACACTCCCTCATAAGTGAGAGACCTAGGTTCGATTCCTGGCAGGGCAAAACCTTAGGCAAGTTTCCTTACCCCACACGCCTGTTAATAATCCCTCAAGAAAAAATACAAAACAGTGACTTCAATCAACGACTGTTTGTGGGACACTGCTGTGCGCAATTGCCGCATTTCATCCACAAATATACAGTCAATTCATTATTATTATTTATAAAAAAGGGTTTTATAATGGGGTCTGTGCTGTAATTGTAAGTGAAATTATAATAATAATAATAATCCTTGCATTTGATATAGCGCTTTTCACATCTTCTAGATGTCTCAAAGTGCTTCACAGAATATATTGTAAAGTGAACTGACCGTATATTTGTCGGCGAAATGCGGCAGCCAATTACAAACTGCAGTGTCCCACAAACAGTTGTGGATTGAAGGGACCAACTTATTTATTTTCTTTTCTTGAGGGATTATTGTCAGGCGTGTGGAGTAAGGAAACTTGCTCAAGGTTTCGCCCTGCCGGTAATCAAAAGGTCTCTCCCTTGCAAGGCAAGTGCTCTAACCACTGAGCTACAGGACTCTGGATTATTGTTTTAATGGAAGCAAAATTCGACAGGTAATTTGCAAAATCATAAAGTCCTGTAAACAACAATGAAAGTTAATATTCAATTAATTTTAATCTTTGGGTGAGAAGGAAGTATGAACCAAGATTAAAAAGGAAGAACGCTATTTATTATCGCATAATGCAGGGAAGGGCAGTCTTTACGGCCACCTGAATCACAAGGCAGATGAATCAAATAGGGACTTAAAAGAGATGGTGTTCCAGATATGACTAAATAATAAGGTTGTACTTAACACATTTATCCACTTTGCCCCATTACCTCTGGAGCACCTGCCTCAAATCCTCTGCCTCATTCCTTATCTATCCAGCTTTAAATCCCAATTTAATACCCACCTCTTTAACCATGTCTATGGTCATCTCCCCCTTCTTTGCTCAGCATCCAATTTTGCCACTGTACAGCACTCTGAGATACTCTGTAAAGGTTGCTATGTAAGTGTAAGTTGTTCTTGTTTTATCCAGATTGCATTGAGCAAAACATCTATTCTGTGAGAATCTGTCCTGAGCCGCCCTTTGTCCAGACAAATACAGACAGATTGTGCCAGAACCTTGCCACATCTCAAGATCACGGTAAGTAAGTTTACTACAGACACAATATAATACCACACAAGCAGATTAAACCTCCAGCAGAAACACTTCTTTTCAGACTGATTCAGTGTGCTATTTTGATGATGTAGGTCACAAAAGAAAAACTATCATTAAGTGCATGTGTGTGGTATGTGTCCCACCCACTCTTCGGGGTGGAGCAGCTCTGAAATATGGAGCCCGGTTTTCACCCAAACCATTGCATATTTAATGAATAATAAATCAAACTAATGCTGAGAAATTAAATCACTTGACTTGGAGAGTATAATTTTAGGCTGCCAGGCAGCTCCAAATAATAATAAGCCTTGCATTTGATATAGTGCCTTATCACATCTTCGGGACGTCTCAAAGCTCTTCACAGAATATACTGTAAAGTGAATTGACTGTATTTTGTGGGTGAATCACGTCAGCCAATTGTGCACAGCAGTGTTCCACAAACAGTCGTGGATTGAGTGGCCAATTTATTTTTATTTAATTTTTTTGAAAGAATTATTACTCCTGGAAAAGCAATCCGCCAAGCGACTGACACCCAGGTACCTATTTACTGCTAGGTAACCAGAGACTTGTGGAGTAAGGAAACTTGCCCAATGTTTCGCCCTGCCCAGTTGAACCCAGGTCTCTCGCTTGAGAGGCGAGTGCTCTAACCACTGAGCTACAGGACTCCAAATACAATAAGTTGCATTTAGATAGTGCTCTTAACCTAGGGTAATGTCTTGAAGCCTTTAACAGTGGTGGAGGAAACAACCCTCCCTCCCCCCAATGATATTTATTAAACCAACAATTAATCAAATTAATAGCAATCGTAATGTTTTGATTCAGTGTATTTTCCTGATGAATTTACAGTCTGATTCAATGTAAATTAATGGGGCTGGGGGCACAACAGAGGATGGGTGAGAGTGATTGAGGGAATGGGTGGGGAGGAAGAAAAAGAGAGGAAGAGAGTGATTGAGGGAGAGTGAGAAACAGGCACGAAGAGGGGGGAGAGAGAGTAATTAAGAGAGAGGGAAGAGTGATTGATCGAGAGAGAGAAACAGCAAGTGAGGAGAGGGGAATTGAGGGTAGTGATCCGTGGTTCTCAAACAGGACATCTAGCCCTCAGCAGCCAACTGTCTCCAGTTGGAGCATCCTGCTCCATGTGAAACAATCTTTGTAAGAGTTTATATTCTAATAAAACAGTTCTGTTTTGAAGCCTGTTTGGTTGTGCGTTCATTGTAGAGTACATGTTTTCTGTACGTGAGGTATAGTACTGGGCAATACTGTATATGGAAAGAATTGGTACCATAGGTTTAATATGTATGGATTAAACATGGTACATCAACCTTTACCTCATTGTCACCAGCCAGTACAGTACTTGTACTTGTGATACGACTTATGCAAGTTTGATATATGATACAACTTATGCAAGTTTGACATAACTCATACTTTGCATAAGCATGTTAAAATGTAGGGTCCCAACTGATATGACTTGTGTGACGTTTACTGTAGAACCTCTGTAACATGGATGCTTTCAGAATTCTGTGGAGATCCAGGGTGGGCCCACATTATGGATGGGAAGTGATAATGTGTTGTGTAAGCATTTGGGTATAAATGAACAAGAAATGCCACAAAAAGAATATTTTTTTACAGTCAGTCAGGCTGAATTTGCAGCTAAAATCTTGTTTTGCTTATTTTAGATTACAAAACCCAGCGCAAGAATATTGAATATGGAAACTGACGTGAAGATGAAAGTTGAGAAAGAAACAAAATCTGCAATAAATGATCAGTTGGAAAAATCCCAGGCTCCAGGTCCCAGTCAGTCACCACCTGCCCTAGAGGCAGGCCACTATTCAGCATGTGAGAGAGGGTTCGTACCCTCACCAGAAGTGGAAAGCCTGGGCACTGACTCAGAAGATGGACCAGTGGAGTCCGGTGAGTGTAAGGAGGAGCTTTTCACGTCCATTGACCTGACGAAGCCTAAGCATATTCACACTGGAGAGAAACCCTTCGAGTGCATTGCTGGGAAACAAGAATTTTGCACATCGAGCAAACTGACCGAGCATGATCCCGAGCATGCTGGAGAGAAAGCCTTTGAATGCATGATGTGCGATAAGCACTTTTACACTGCTGGAGAGTTGATCGGGCACCAGAGTATTCACACAGTGGAGAGACCCTTTGAGTGCAACATGTGTCAAAAGCAGTTCTGTGGAGCCGGGGGCCTGAAAAAGCATCAACTGATTCACAGCGGTGAGAGACCGTTCGAGTGTGCCATATGTCAGAAGCAGTTCTATAACTCCACATACCTGGCGGTGCACCAGCGATTTCATACTGGGGAGAGGCCGTTCCAGTGCACCATCTGTCAGAAGAGGTTCTGCACATCCAGCCACCTCCGAGAGCATCAGAGAATCCACACTGGGGAGCGACCCTTTGCCTGCAAGGTGTGTGAGAAGAGGTTCTGTACTTCCAGTCACCTGACAGAGCATCAGCGAATCCACACTGGAGAGAGACCCTTTGCCTGCAGGATGTGTGACAAGAGGTTCTGTACATCCAGCCACCTGACAGAGCATCAGCGCTCGCACACCGGAGAGCGTCCGTTTGCCTGTAGGATGTGCGAGAAGAGGTTCTGTACGTCCAGCCACCTGACGGAGCACAAGCGAACCCACACCGGAGAGAGACCCTTCCCGTGCAGGATGTGTGACAAGAGGTTCTGCACTTCCAGTCACCGGAAGCAACATGAACGGAGTCACACTGGGATCAAGCCATTTGAGTGCGGCATCTGCCAGAAGAGGTATCCCACCTCGACTCACCTGACAATGCACCAGCAGACCCACACTGGAGAGAGGCCTTTTCAGTGTGACCTGTGCAAAAAACGCTTTTATCGATCCAATCACCTGATAGCCCACCAGCGCATACACCTGCGAGATAAACCATTTGCGTGCGAGGTGTGTAAGCAACGATTCTCCTCGGTCAACCTTTTTAAAGCACATCAGCAAACCCACATTCCAGAGAAATAGTTTTGGTATACGTTCAAGTGAAAAGCATCGATATTGAGCCCACATGAACCCTGCAGAGAAAACAATGTGAGCGTGTTTTGTGTGCGCGTGTGTATGTGTGTTTTTTTGGGGGGAAAAAAATAATACCTCTTCTTGCATATCCCTTATTGCCTTATCTTAACTCCTGGGAAACAAAATTGTTGCTACATCTGGTTAATGGACAGTGCACCTGGACCCCAAAAAGTTTGAAATACATGTGTGTTATAGACTATTTCTGACAAGTGTATCAACTAATTCACAATGAAGAGAAACAACTTGAATGGATTGCTGTCCTATCACTTAAACCATTCCTACATCCCTGCTGAAAAATGTGGATGTTGGGTTGGGATAGGATTAGGTCTTGACTATGTCCTGGATTCGTGGTCCAGGCTTTTAATTTGAATAATTGCAGTTGGGCAAGATTCTGGAAGGTGCCAGTGTGAGAACAGAACCCCAGTAGAAGGAAAACGGAGTCTCAATGCCTTCAAGAATGGGGATGGGAAGAAAAAAATGAAAGGAGGAAAATATATAGGAAAAGAGGGTGGGAATTAGAACAATACGATGAAAGGACTACTTTTTTCCTAGAAAGAAGGAACTTGCAGTTTTATTGCATCTTATCACGTTTGTGTCTCAAAGTGCTATAAAGTAATTACTATCAAGTGTAGTGACTTTCTTTTGTAAGCACACACGACAGTCATTTAGTGTGCAGCCGGCGTCTCAAACAGCCATGAGATGACTGATTTTATCTGGAGGATTGCTGTCCAGAATACCAGGAGAAAGTTCCTAATCTTTTCACATGGTGTCGTGGGATCTGTAACATCTACTCGAAGAGCAGGCGAATGGGACTTTGATGTTTCATTCGAAGGACATCGCCTCTTGACAATTGAGGCCAGCTCTCAGTACTGCACTGAAGGATCAGCCTGAAATTGTGAAAGACAACAGTGCAACCGATTGAGCCAAACTGACACCCTGCAGAGGGATTGACCATAATGTAGACCTCAAATTATTTCATGTCAGAAAATATCCAGACATGCCAGTGATCTGATTGTGCATCACCACCTCACATTATTTGAAAGTCCAACAAGCTTCAGACTTCATCACAAAGCAATTAAACCCACTATTACATTCAAATTAAACTGACTATTTTTCATTTAGGGGAGAAGCGTTACTCAAATCGGTATATATCAAGTAATAGAGGTCTACAACCTTGCGATGTTTTGATGTTCGTGTGTATCAATATGTATCAGCAACTAATTCCGTATATTGAAATTGTGGATGTTCCTAAGATTTGGGAAACGTTTCTTTTAGAATATGGAAATTAGAGGACTTGTAAATACACGCTTGAAAAATTTGCAACTGTGTAATGTGTGTGGGGGGAGGGATGAACAAGTATCTCCTAGGGGTGGGTTGGCTCTGCAGTGAATAGCAGAGTTGAGTCAGCTCTCTTTGGTAGGCTTGATCCATTACATGAGTGGGGGGGGCCCACAGTACTCCAGCGCACTGCGGATGGCTGACCATCCTGTCTTTCTGGTCAGTGGGACTTGGACATAGACATGCCACATAGGGATGTAATTCTTCTCACTTCACTTCTGATAATCCTGCAAGACAAGTTCTTAACTTCTGGCATTGGCAAGTGAGGTGTGCCCTTATAGGGGAGAGATCGCACACTTCAGAGCAGGTGAGCTGGAATTACAGATTCTTAAGTATAGCAATGGGTTTCTGCACAAAATTTGTCAAATATGATAAGAGGGTAGATAGAAGCAAGTTAATATCCCAAGGGACCCAAAGCAAGTTAGAATAGAGGATGAACAGTTGGTAACACATTTTATTGAATACTTCCTGTGTTTAATCAGGAAGGTCACAAAAAAATGTAATAATAAACATGTATTGTTTGAGCTGCAGGACTTTGACATTAGTGAAGCTAAGATTCTAGGTTGGAAGAATATGTCCAAATGATGGTGCTATTGAAAGGAGTGCATCGGGGGTCTGGCTGGGGACCCTTTCTGTTCCTTGTGTAGATTAATGGCCTGGATTTGCAGTCAGTACACAATAGTTTAATGTGCAGACAACACCCAAGTTAGAGGGAACTATGAAATGAGAGGAGGCAATGAAAGAGAGCTTGGTAGGGTTTCCACGTGGATCCATCTCTGGTAAAGGAAGTTCAATACAACTAATAAGTGCAGGTACATAGAAGACGTGTGTACCCTTTGGATGGTATAGAATTTTCCACGGTGGAATTCGCAAAAAGACCTGGGGATGTCAGCTGACTCATCATCCACCATGTTTGAATAGTGTAAGGCAGGAATAAATTAGGTAAATAGGGTGCAGGACTATAATGCCAGATCAGTTGAGTTTATATCCCTAGAAGTCATGCTCAAGCTAAACAGTTATGAGCAGGCCTCACCTGGAGTACGGTGTATAGTTCTAGATGCCACGGCATCTAGGGACTGGCCAGGGCCTAAAATATAGAGAAGAGTAACAAAGAACGGTCCCCTATTTCAGAGGGATTTCTGTGACCTGGGATGCCCTCCCGATGTGAAAGGCGCTATATAAATGCAATTTGTTGTTGTTAGATGAGCTATAAGGAATCATTAAATAAATTTGTCCTCTTAAACCTTGCAACATGAGACATCTCAGAGGTGACCTTATAGAGGTTTACAATAATAAAATATGAGGCTTGCATTTGGCACAGTGTCTATATTGTCAAAACACTTGACACTCAAAATTTCTGTTAAGTGTATCGACTATTTTGTAGACAAACACAGTGATTAATTTGTGCATCGCAATGTCTCACAAACAGCCATGAAACGAATGACCAATTTATTTGGAGAGTTGTTGGCTCGACACTAGGAGAAAATCATTTTTCTCTTCAAATAGTGTCATAGGATCTTTAATATCCATTTAAAGAGGTAGTAAAGCCCTCAATTTAATATTTTGTAGGATGGCATCTCCAACAGTGCAACCCTCCCCAGCACTGTATTGTTGGAATGTCAGCTCAGACTGAGCTGAAAGTCACAATGTGGGGTGTCAACCTACAACCTTTTCACTCAGAGGTGAGAGTGCTACCAACTGTGCCAGGCTGATGTATGTAGAAGATGCTGTATAGAAGACATAGAAAAAATATTTAGAAGATTCTAAGTGCAACTAAGCAAGTGAACCAAGAACAATATTTTTAAAAGCGTCAAGACAGCACAGATGCAGGGTTATGAAGAGCAATTTCAGAATAAACACCAGGAAGCATTTGTTAATGGATGATCATTGAATTGGGTTATCGGGAAGGATGGTTGAAGCCAGACATGACTCATTTAAGAAACTACTTGATGAGCTGATGGAAAGATAATATTTTGGATGGATGAGATTACATGGGTTAATGGGCCTTCATCGGAACTTCTTTTGTAATGATAAGACTTCCTGCTAACCAAAATACACACCAATCTTACAAAATGTTTCAAACCAATTTACTTTGTGCAAAGAATTCTCAGTCTAATGCAGCACAGAGTGATGGAAAATTTATTGAAACCTGATTCTGTATATTCTGAAAATTTGTGGGATTTGAGGAAGGGTTAATTTTCCTACTGGTAAACGAGTGAACAGGGAAGTGCTGTATAACCAACTTTAAAATTGTATTGTAACCTTTAACTTGGCTCTAATTTAACAGTCTGTTTTGTGTAAAATGTTGATTTTAAATAATTGCAATTTAGTTCAGTAACAGTGTGTTACAATAAAATCTTGATTTATCCTTCATATGTGATTCATGCAGCTGTCAATCATGTCATATCTTTCAATCACCCAGAATAGTGACAGATCGTATGGAACAACTCTTAAAGTTTATGTAGGAGCCCTCAATGTATAAATCGTGTTAAGTGCAGCAATGCACCGTACCAATATAAAACATGTTTCAATAACAACATACACTCATATAGCACCTTTCATTAAAAGAATATCACAAAGCATTTCACAAAATAAAGATCATTTGAAGTGCAATGAATGTTGTAACTTTTCATAGTACATGTCCAGCTAGGACCACCTTATCCATGTTGGCCTTGGCTCCCAGGGATGAGTATGTGTCCATACCTCCAGGTTCTCCACATGAGCTAAGACGGTTCTCTTTCACAGTTATGAGCATTCAGCAAAGTGGGTTTCCTTTGGCCTGTTTGTGAAGTCCAGGACCAAGTAGGGGAGGATTAATTCCCTGGAATACAAATTTACATTATATATAATATCAGGAGGATGTCTGAAGGTGATGGACAGTGCAGGGTTTGTATCCGCGCTGGCTGTGGGGGCTGGGAGATAGCCCAAATCACAGTCAAAGAGGAAGGTCTTGAGGCAAAGTGACATAGGCCTAGATAGACTGAATAACCCAACGACCAATGGTGGGGTGGGGCACATGAAGCAAGCTGGTGTCTGCTGAGTGTAAGGACTTGCTTGGTTGGTAGTTTGAGGTTGTTGCAGAGGTATGAAGGGAGGGAGGAACTCCATGGTTTTAAACTCGATCTGCTGGGGGATAGGGGGCCAATGGAGTTGGGCGAGATTGGGAGTGATAGGCTCATGGAGGAAAGGACACAAGATGCAAAATTATGGATAATCTGAAGCTTGTGAAGTGAAGAGGTGGGTAGTCCAGTGAGCAAAGCGTTGGCATGTATGTGGATTAGGGTCCAGGCAGCCCAAGAGGATAGGGATTAGCGGAAGCAAACAATGTTACGGAGGTGGGGGAAAGCTGAGCAGGTCAGAGCATGAATGTAAGGTTTAAAGGATACTACATCTGATTGGGTCCAAATCCCTGACTGTCCAGCGCCTAGAGACATCCTCCTGATGTGAAAGGCACTATAGAAATTAAATTTTGTATTGTATTGCAAGTCGAGCAAGATATTGAGGTTCTGCACAGGCTCCATAGTTTGATGCTGTCAAATCCAGTTTAATGCTGCTGAGAAGGTGCTGACAGGAGCCAAGTACGAGAGCTTCCATCTAGTTGATATTCAACTGGAGAAAGTTACAGCTCATCCAGTACTTGATGTGCATTGAAGGCAGATGTCCATTGAATAGCTAATGAAGAAAATCTGGGATGACGCTGCTAGTACATGGCACCTTGAGTTCTTGAACACATATTCATATATCCAGGGCTTGAAATCCACTTTTATATACAGAGCAGGCAATAAGAGCGCGCATTTCAATTGTGCCTTTCATATGGAATTAATAACTTGGAGTTCCTTACTTGGTGGGGTTCAAGCAGCTTTTATTGAAGCTCGATACTTCCAATTGGTGGAACCATCAAACTCAAGGTAGGGATGTATGTCCAAGCTGTGGGCAGGTGGATGTTGGCAATGCTCTCACACATTTCATGCTGAGATGCGTTGCTCACCAAGAAACTTACAGGGAGTTCATGGTGCCTGCTATCCATTTAGTGAGAAAACAAACCTGTTTTTGTCAGATGTCAAATGACAACTAGTGACTATCTAGGGAGAGGTGGAGGGTAAATGGGTCTCCTTGGGGCTGAGCTGGTTCTGAGTTGATGTTCTTGGAATGTCAGAACTGAGTCAACCCTGTGGCGGTCTCCATAGTCTCATTCCTGAGCCAATAAGGTCTGCAGTATTCTAAGGCAGGGCAAAACCTTGGGCAAGTTTCCTTACTCCACACACCTAATAATAATCCCTCCAAAAAACAAAACAATAATAAATTGGTCATTTTCAATCCACGACTGTTTGTGGGACATTGCTGTGCGTAATTGGCTGCCGCGTTCGCCCACAAATATACAGTCAATTCACTTTATAGTATATTCTGTGAAGCGCTTTGGGACGTGTAGAAGATGTGAAAAGCGCTGTATCAAATGCAAGGATTATTATTATTATGATAGACCAGCCAGACTGACATGCTGGCAGGATTTTATCTAGGGAGAGAGACAAAAAAAATCCCTAAAAGAAAAATTGGTGGTCACTCAATCTACGACTGTTTGTGGGGCACTGCTGTGTAGAATTGGCTACTACATTTTGCCCACAAATTATAATCAATTCACTTTACAGTATCTTCTGTGAAGCACTTTGAGGCATCTAGAAGACGTGATCAGGCGCTATATATCACATGCAAGGATTATTATTATTATTTTGAGGAGCATATCAGTCACTGGGAGAAGGGATTTATTCCCACTCGGCTCTTGTTAACCTGCAATCCAAAGTCCTAAAAAAAAGGATAAAGTGGTGGGAGTTGGGCATGGAGTGGGAAAGTTGCCAGACAAAACTCTCAGTTGCAAGCAGTATGGTCTCAGTTAGTTATACTCCAGCAGTACATCAGTACATATTCTGGAGTCCCCAAGCCTTGGTTCTCACCAATCCATGCCTAATGCTGTCCAGATTTAGGAAAACAGGGTTTATCCCTCTAGGCAGAAAGTGCAAATTCCACTACAAAAACACAGAAATGTTCATGTGGTACGTGTATGTAGAACTCTTAGTCTGTATTGGTACTCTTAAGGATAGTAATGGGTTTAGCATGTGTCAGATACCCAGCTGACCAAAAGTGGGATGATCAGCTGTCAACAATGCTTTGGATTGAGGACATGTTTACACCTCTAATTCTCAGTCTCATGAGTCAGATAGGCTGTTTCACTCCATGAATGGAAGGATTATTTTAGTATGGACACAAAGACTTCATTCTGTATAATTGTCATCTCTGGTTAAACACTATCATATCCCCTTGCGATCCATCAGAGGTTCCATTGTTTCCTTGACCACATACTTGCTTGAATGATATTTATAAATACTTTATATTGTTTTGTACGTCTATCCTTCTGCAGTACTAATCTACTCTAATTTTCTACTCTATTTTTAACCAATCTCTTAGCTCTCTTAGCCTACCTCATATGATACTTCTTAGTCCTCTTCTACCCATACACACACTGCTTATCCAGCTATGGCTACCACTGGGGCTTTGGAGTTCAGGTTAATGATAGCTGAGAGGAAAGAATCACAGCCCTCGGTTAAAATAGTCCATAATTCCTTTTAAAAGGTAATCAAACATATGCTTTAAAAGAGACGTATTAGAAGGTATAGGCTGTGAGTAAAATTGGAAATCTGGACATTAAAATCTGCATAATTCTCTCAAAAGTGTGACTTTTTTTCTCAAAAATTCTGAATGCCCCGTGGTTGATAGTGTTGGTAATATTACCCTCCGCTGACCCGGATAAGACACCCCTTGACAGTTAACAAGGTTACTGCTGAAGACTGGTTACTTTGGCGGTGCATATTCCCATTAAGTAAGCAGCAGTGAAGCACAGATATATTGCGGCTCAGTCCATCAGCATCCAGCAGGAAACAGTGATACCTTTGTTCTGCTAACTTCTCCGCTGTGAGCTATAATGCTGTTTTATACAATAGTATACAGAGGAGAGAGGAAGGGGTTTTGGGAGATCTCATGTGTCCAGACTTGCTGAGAAATCAAAAGAAGCTGGAAAGATTCTCAGAAGAATTTATCTGATCCAGATCCTGCTGAAAGCAGGTATCAGGAGAGTGAAATCCCTTAGATCTTTTTTCCTCCTGGGAGTGGGGTTATTCCAAAGTCAGCAGCAAAACATCAACCTAATGCAAATCCCATTCTGCACAAAGAAAGAAAGTTTTATTTCCAAGGTCACTTTCACTGCCAACGGACCCCACAGACCCACAGATGTGAGGTGCAATACTGCTTCTAATGCAACACAAGTGTAAAGTAAGGGTGGATTTAATAATAATAATAATAATAATCCTTGCATTTGATATAGCACTTTTCACGTCGGGAGGACGTCCCAAAGCGCTTCACAGAACACACTGTAAAGTGAATTGACTGTATATTTGTGGGCGAACGCGGCAGCCAATTGCGCACAGCAATGTCCCACAAACAGTCGTAGATTGAAAATGACCAATTTTTATTATTGTTTTTTTTTTTGGAGGGATTATTTTTAGGCGTGTGGAGTAAGGAAACTTGCCCAAGGTTTCGCCCTCTGCCTGGAATTGAACTCAGGTCTCTCACTTGCAAAGCGAGTGCTCTAACCACTGAGCTACAGGACTCCTAATTTAGAGGCTGTGGTGCTGTCAATTACATGCCCATTTGAATATTTTGTATGTACAGTGCTCAGGGGAGATCCTGAATGCTTATTCTTGTTTTCACTAACCTACAAAACCTTAAATCGTGAAAATTATACACTTAAATGTAGCAAATATAGTTTAATATTGTGCATAAAAATGACCAGCATAGAGTAGTAATATATGGACAATTTACCACACAGTGACAAGAATACTGAATACAATTCTGGTCACTATTACATTAGGGTCATCTTGGCATTTGAGATGGCAACTGCACTTATATGTGGAATCAGACACTCGAGTTATAAAGAGAACTAGAGAAATGGTAAATGTTCAAACTATGGAAGAGAAAATCTTACTACAATAATCAAGATCTTAAACAGTGTTCATAAACTGATCCCTAATAACTACTAATACTCTAATGTATTTTACATAACCACAGCTCTACAATGATGGGGGGCACTTAATCTCAGAAGATGGACATCCAGGTTAGATTTAATTTAATGTGGACCCATATTTTTCTTGTCATCGCTTACTGCTTACAGATTATATCTACAAGGGAACTCCATTATAACGGCCTTCAATATAGCACTGTCTTGCATATTGAGGCGGCTAGATAATAGATCCTGACATCTTGTGACATTAAAACATGAAAATCTCATTAACATGGGAATAACATTGGTCGTTTATGAGGCATATCA